CGTGTGTTTGATCTAGTACAGACAGTCATAGTCCACTTCTTCAGCCTGGGGTGCACCTGACTCTCCCCAGCCAGTTGCTTGGAGGCCAGAAGCCCTCCACCCTGCCCTAGCATCTTGGCCAGAGAGACTCCTGGTGAGTCACTCTTTCTCTGCCAGTCGTCCCTTGCTGTCCAGGTATGTGTTGTGATTCTAGAGATCCCTGTGCCACTGAGAAGTGGAGCATCTTTGCCTTTTGCTCTGGACCAGATACCACGGCTTCCCTAGGCAAGTTGTACTACATGCCTGGAGTACAAAAACAGTGTGGTGGGGCAGGGCAGTAGGGAGGACACAGACGATGGGATGTGTTCCGTTGGTTGGCGTTCAGAATGTGCAGCCCCGACATTTAAAGGACAGAGAATATTTGCTTTGTGTCTGCAGTTTTTGTTTTTCTTGCCTGTGTTCTTCTTGCCATTCTCCACGGGCTATCTCTCCCCTTCCCCCAGGCCATCTCTCGCTTGTGTGAAGACAAGTATAAGGACTTCAGGAAATCAGCAAAGAAGCGGTCGGTCAGTTCGGACAATCTGACTATAGTTAGATGGTCTCCCGCTATCATCTCCTAACAGTGAAGTCTGGGATCATGCCTCCAAAAGTACTGTTTCTATCATCAACTTTGGGCAGGAGGGGAGGGAGGGGGTGTTATTGTTCATTATTGTTTTTTGGGGGGGTTTTTTTTTGTTTCCCCTTGGGTTTTCCCCCTCCCTTATTTTCAGAACTGCCTTTACAGTGCCTCCCCCTTTGGTGTAGCACACGAGAATAAACCTGGGACTTGGATAGAACCATCAGGATAATCGTGAGGGACTCTGTAAGAAGATTGCATTTGTTACTTGCTAACAGAGAGTCCTTTTGTGAAGAAAAAAAAACAAACACACTTGGAAGAGGAGAAGACTGGGGCGCGGTGCGGGAGTGAAGAAACTGACAAGTGTGTGCCATATTTTTTTTTAAATTACCTTCTTCAGAAACAATGGCATGAAAATAAAATCCACAAGATAAGCTTGCAAGAGAGCTTTGGGGACGGGGTGGGGGGGAGGAATTGGAAGTGCTTCACGTTCTCTCTGGTATCTTCTATCAGTTTTGGGTTTTTTTTAAACTCCTGGGTTTTGCATTCCTCTTTGCTGTTTGCCTGGGTTTGGTTTTCCTGCTTCTGCCAAGGCAGCAAGCACAAAGGTGGCATCTACAGTAGCACAAGCCTCTGAATCTGACAGCATTGGTTGTTTTCTTCCCTCTACAAGGCACTTTTCTCTTTATAAGCTGTTTAATTAGCATTTCTGCCCATTGTCATTATGCATATTTTGTTTCTCATATGCCTTTTTGGGGGGAGGGGGGGAGTATTTTTGAAAACAAGATTTAACTTGATTTATAGTGCTGAACCAAAAGTATACAACAAGATCAGGTGATCGTAATTTTCATGATTTTTTTTGTTTTGTTTTAATTTATAGCAGCCGGTATCCGTGATGCTGCCTCGCTAGCTGCATCATGGAAGACTGACTGTGTAATAGTATATGTGGCTGCATGTGCCTTCCTACGTTCTGTTGGGATAGTTTATTTTTCCTTACTATAAAGTGATGATTGTTAGAAGGACTCAGACAACAGTGGAACTTGGGCTGAGGAGGTGAAATTTGCATTGGAGGTAGTCGTCCTTTTCTGCAAGTTTTCCATAGCATTCAGAAATTCGGCAGGCTTAAGTGAGAGAAAGCAAGGCCTCCCTTTCGTGTGGCCCGAATAATTGATTTCCTTCACTTCCTGGTTCAATGTTGCAAGCAATAGCCTCAAGTTTTTTATATGTTTACTTTAAATGGAAACCAATCTGTTTGTATAAAATAGGGGGGGAAAGTAAAAAAAAAAGTTTTTTGTTCTAGTGAAAAGCGGTCCATGAAATAAGAAAATCTATATTCATTTTACCAAGTGTTTGTCACAGGCTGGATTAAAAAAAACAAAAAAAGTTTTACAAAATTGCATTTTACAATGTAGGTGCTTATAGGAATTTAAACAAAATGCAAACTGTGAAGAAAATTTGATGGTTGATGAATTATATTGTACTTTTTGTTACTTGTTCCTACCATTGCTTTCCTTAATTATTATTAATGGGATGTACAAGAGGAATCCCCCTTTTTATAGCAAATTGCATTATTCCTGTAGGGATTCTTGTGCTCTGTACAGGGATATAGGGATTATTTTGCACACTTCAGAAAAACACAGGTTTATTATACGGAAACAAAATCAGAAGTACATTTCATGATGTTGGAATTCCATGCATTCTCTCTCTAGTGGTGTGAAATGATCAAAACTCTCCTGGTTTGGGCTTGGGTTTTGCTTTTGGTTTTTTGCACTACTTGAGAGAATCATACAAAGCACATTCCACTGGCAACATCTCCTGCATCAGACCCCCCAAGCTGTGCTGTTATACCTGCCCCCTATTGGGGGGCTTGCTCAGGAGGAGTTCTCAGCAGTGTGCTCCTGAGCTGTTCTGTTAATATGAATGAGAGCTCTTGCAGGGCGTGTGACCATCCCACATTCCTTTACATGTTCTTGTTGAGCCTTAAAACCTCTTTTTTAAAATATTGTTTACTTGACTTACATTTCCAGCAAATCCCTTTTTTCCATGTTAAGGGCACATCTGTGCAGCTCTAAATTATAGGGAGCCAGGGGTGCTTTCTCTCCTGCTGATCCTTTCAGTCAGAGGTCGGGAACCAAAGAAGAGAGGAGCTCGTGAACTGAAACTTTGCTTTTGGTGTTTGCTGCAAAGTTCTCCCTTGCCAAAGAAGCCAGCCATTTTTAATGCCGAACAGCTGGTTTTCTCTTCAGCATGGGAACGGCTGCATTAAGGGCTTGGTTGTCGCTGGTCAGCACACATCCCTTTTTGGGATCCAACTCAAGGGTGGCTTAGGCATGCTGGATGATAGGGCTAACGGGAGTAGGGTTGCCAAGTAAAAAAATCTCACCGGCGGGGGAGCCTCGTCGGGCTCCGGGAGCTCTCTCCGGATGCGCACGCGAGCCACCAGCACGTCACCAGAAGTGACGTGCGACGTCGACCACGTTGAGGGCGTGGCCACAATAGTTGGAGCTGCACTTTAGGGGGCGGAGTTCCCCCCGGGGCCCGATTCCGCGGCGGTGGAAATCGGGCCTCCAAAGCGGGGGTTTACCCGCCCCCACTTGGCAGCCCTAAACGGGAGTCACTGGAGACCGTGTCCCCTGTAGCACCTGTTGCCAGGTTGTTTTGAGGAGAGAGAAGAAAGTACATTATTTTATCTGGGATGTTTCCCCATGCTTCCGGAACACAGCCCCCAATCTAGAGTGCTGTAAGCTGTCCTTTGTGATATGCCCCAGATATGTTTAGGATGAGAGCATTCGAGGCTTTTCCTCAAGTGACTGTGCCCCTGACCAGGGCCGGCCCGAGGTTGTCCTGCGCTCTAGGCGAGTGCAGATGCCAACCTCCCGGCAGGGCCTGGAGACGCGCCCTCCGCTGGCCGGCAAGAGAGGCCGAGAAAAGCGGCGGTGGCGCGGGGGGGAGGAAAGCGGGCGGTGTGTGTGTGTGTGGGGGGTCTGGGTCTGCGCGTCCCCGGCCCTGCCCCCGCCGCCGGGCAGGAGAGAAAGAAAAAGAAGAAGGCCGGCCGGGGAAAAGGAAAGCGCCGCGCTGGAGAAGGGGCCACTCCTGCCTCCCGCCCCGGCCGCTGTGCGCGCGCGCCCGCTCACTCCCCAGGGGGAGCCTGGAAGCGCACCAGAGCGGAGGGCAGGTACGCGAGGCCTCTTAATAAGAGGCTCCTTATAAGAGGCGAAGGGGCAGCCGCCAGTCCCAGCGCCTCAGGAGCCCTGTGTGGCGGCGGCGGCCGCAGCAGCTGGGAGAGGAAGGCCTGCCGGGGCTCACTCCCTGGGGAAGGCTGGAAACGCACCAGAGCGGAGGGCTGACACGCGAGCCCTCGGGCGCGTGCCAAGAGCCAACGGCGCCAGCCAATCAAGGAGCCCGTGCGGAGACCCTCCCAGCCCTGCTCCTCCCAGCTGCTGGCCAGGCTCGTGCGCCCCTGCCTCTCCTCCCGCCCCTAACGGCCGGCTCGCGCTCTAGGCAAAGGCCTAGTTCGTCTAGCGGGCGAGCCGGCCCTGTCCCTGACGATGCTGATTGCCTTAAAAGCGGTTAAGGCACTGGTGATGCTGGAGTACGAATACCCAAGCAGTTTTCTCCTAGCTTTCTTATTTGTACTACACAACATGAAGAGCTTGGCCTACATATATTCCCTGACCTTTCAGAGAGTTTAGTTCTCATTTCTTTTTTTAAAATAGTTGTTGTGCCAATATGTCAAAACTCTGATTTTTATCATGTTGGGGTTTTGATCCGCCCCCCCCCCCTTCCTGCTTTTTCTTTTTTCTTAAACAGAATGTTAAAAGAAGAAAAAAGAGAGCATTTACAATGATAGCGTAAAAGGGATGGGGTGGTTTTTTTTAAATATAGAATCGAATTATATTTCTCCCCCATATATAGATAATGATTTTACAGTGAATTGTTTTATCAACGGTTTGAAGAACAGCTGTTGGGTTTGCTTTCTAGCAAAAGCATGGGTGTGGAGTTTGGGCGTGGAGGGGAGGACGGAGGAAGAAGTTTGCATTATGTAAAGTTCTCAATGCATCTACTATAATTTTTGTGAAGTTTATTAAACAACTTTAAAGATTGTATAGTCTATTTATTGTATGTATGTACATACAGTCTGATACTTAAAATTTCAAGTGGATTCCGTAAAACCTGGCTCAGTCTTGTTTAGACTATTGGATATCGTTTTAGCCTTGTGCACTGGACTCTACCTCTGTATAGGAGAATTTTCCATATTCTTCAATTAGTACTGATTCTCTGTGATTTAACTTGGTTATGTTTCTTGCACTAAAAATTAAAAAAAAAAAGAAATCTGCTGTTAAATGTGGGGTTTTTGTTTTTTGTTTAGCATTGTATTTCTGCATTTCTTAATTTACATACCTTGTTTTTCCCCAATGGGGATCCAGAGCAGCTTAGAACATCATTCTCCGTTTTTTTTTCTCTTCCATTTTCCCACAACAACAATCTTGTGAGGTAGGATAAGCTGAGAGAATGCAAGTAGGCCAAGGTCACCCCACAAGCTTCCACGGTAGAATAGAGATTGAAACCTTGGTTTCCCAGGAACCCCTACACCATACTGGGTCTCATTCTTTCTTTCATTCTCTTTATCACATGGTATAAATGATTTTATCCAACCTTATATCCACTATATTTTTATCCCACCCATGTTTCAGAAAGCTTGGACAACATTCATAGTTCTCCTTTCTGCATTTTATTCTCACAATAACCCTGTGAGGTAAGTTAGGCTCGCCCCTAGGAAACATTTTTTCTCCAGACCAATTTGGCTGGAGATCCGGGAGGTTTTTTGTCATCTTCTAGCCGCGTGGAACAGGGGTCACTGGGTGTGTGTGTGTGGGGAAGCATTTGTGAATTTCCTGCATTGGGCAGGGGGTTGGACTAGATGACCCTGGAGGTCCCTTCCAACTCTATGGTCCCATGTGGTTCTCCTGGCACAGGGAGGGGAAGAATCGCCTCTTGGAGCTTGAATCTCAGCGAGAAACCTGACCTATATGTGAAGTAAATAAATCACTGTTTCCATGCTGAGATTTATGCAGGCATAATCCTCAAATACACCACTCTAAAGAAGGCTACCCAACATTGCAAGTAAGAAACACAATTTTTACATGGATCGTGGTGCCTGTCCTCCATTCCCCCTTCCTTTGGTCTCTGTGCCCTAATTGAAATTCAGCCTCTATTCAGCCAGGTCTGTTTTTCTTGCCAGGTTTTGTGGCCACCTTGCCACTATCTCTCTGTCTCCAATGGATTAAAACAATCAAAACACTCCGATCATTCAATAACTGTGAATAAACAGTTTGAGCTTTGTTTTGTTTAACACAGCCATTGAAGAGACTCAAGAAATGTTCTAAAGGACTCTCAATTTTAACTCTGCCATCCTCCTCCTCTACGTCCAGCCTGTTTTAATGACACACTTGCTGATGCCCACCTCCCAGATAAGGAATGCCTTGGCAATGATGCAAAGCTGCGGTGTGTTTGGCCTTCTTGATCTACCTGCTCTGTGCTGAAATATATGCAGGAGTTCTGCGCCGGAGTTCTAAACTGAACTGAGGTTTAACTATTTCTTGAATACCATTTGATTCAGTTCAGTGCAGATTGCAGTTCTGGAGACGAAGGAACCGCTCGGCTACGCTGACCCGATTTTGATTCTGTATGCTGTCTGATGGGTCTTTGACCGTAATAAACTGATTGATTGATTGATTCAGTTCAGTTCAGGTTTCATAAATATTTTTTGGCATTGCACGATGATTCTCAAGAATATCTCTGTGCTTTTCTCCCACTGTCCTTCTAAGCAAAATACGCCCAGATGTTGGATACTCATGTTATGACGAGTCGGAAGATCTTCATATTCCTGTTTCTACCCCTGCATCAAAATGTTCTTAGGATTTTGGAACTCTTGGGTTGATCTCCCTGAAACGCTGCTTTTCTATGTGAAAGGGAACGTCCATACCCACAATCTTTCACCTGCACTCTGAAGCGACTGGGAATGGGGTAGACAATTGATAGAATGAAATGATTTAATTTTACATGTTGTATTCCTGAAAATAAAATTTGTTTACCAAAAAAAATAATAATAATGCAGCCGGAATTTTGTGGCCATTCCCCAGATGTTTTGCATTTTGGATTCTGTTGATCTGAATGAAAAACCAGGAATCTGCCCTTATATTGATTTTAGACCTTTGATCCATCAAACTCGGTGGTGTTTACTCTGCTCTCCAAGGCCTCAGATAAGGCCTCTTTCCTAACACTGCTAACGTAGATCAGTTGACTGGAAGCGGCAGGACCTTCTGCATGCATGAGCCGTGGTCAATGCTTTAAA